TGTTGCTTTGCCAGCACTTAAAGGAGAACTATGGGGTCAGTGTTTTTCCCCATAGTTCTCCTTAGGGTAACGGGAGGACACAAACTAGCGTCCTCCCTTTACCCTAAGCTCAGTATACCGCGAGCTACAGCGCCGACCTGTGACAGTCTCATTGTCACAGGTCGGCTAGAACTATGAGGTGAGTGGAAATCACTCATCTCATAGTTCTCCTTTAATAAAGTCAGTCTGCAAAAAGGGTTAAATGGTTAAAGTACACTAACATGTCCAAACACACAGATAGTTTAGACCCCATTCACATAGGGCGTTCCTGTGTCCCTATAGAGAAATCTGGCCGCTGTGCCCATTCAAGGCCCATTAATGACAGGGTGACAGCATCTGCATCTGTCAGCAGCAGTCTATATACACGGTATGATTACATGCGGTTTGGGATATATGATTGCTGCTGGATACATCTATCCTGCTTCCTTCTATCCCAAACCACGTGTAATCAGACCGGGTATGATTACATGCAAACTACTGCAGATAGGTGTGTTAGAATACACATTACTGTGTTTATAGCAACAACTTCTGCAGTATACAATTTTGGTCACTAGATGGCACTGTTTATAAGTTATGTTATACAGTATCTATGGTATATACTCTGTTGTATTGAATAAGGGAGAGAATAAAGGTGTGGCTTCCTTCCTGTGTTTTTCAAGCCATGTGCAGCATGCATATCTGACTGAGTGCTTGTGTTTCTCTGTGAGGCTGTGCAAGAAGTTCCAACAAGATGCAGCCAATGTTACCCTGCCATTACCTTGAATGGGCACAGCAACCATTGGTGCTTGCTGCAATCCTGCTCCGTTATGCTTACGTTGTGCATTTTCCTTAAACTTCGGCAAAATATGAAGCAGCTGTGCCTGTCAACCAATCAGCTTCTTTTTTTCATTTTCAAACCTTAACTGAGCAAAGAAGCTGAGTGGTTGCCATGGGCAACTGCTCCAGATTTGATCTGCTCCAGTTTTGATAAATTCCCCCCAGAGATGTTTGTAAATCTTGATGTGTAAAGAAATGATACCTCTCCTGAGTTGTGATAAGATGGCCAGATCGCTTCACAGTACCATAAAATCAATATTTTAGTTTGTGCCGGATAGGACAGCTCTGGCTGTACTCCCGCTGTACCACTCACAGAATACACAGCGTTTAAGGGGAAGAGGGGAGGAATACCGGTCTAGTGCTTCCACCTATGAGATCTGCTGCTCTATACAGTGCCTGATGGAATTACAGGAGACGTAACATTTCTGTACACATCAGGATTACAGAAGTCTCTGTGCCTGGAGCTCTTCTTTAATAGTTCACTATAATAAACTTCAATTTTTATACATTTATTCCAGGTATTTATATGGCGCTGACAATTTACACAGCACTTTACATAGAGCACATTCACATCAGTCCCTGTGCTCAAGAAGCTTACAGTCCCGAGGCTGGGTGACACCCGGAGCGGTTACCGAGTGTCACCCCGCCGAGACGTCACCGCGCGATCTTCTGATACCTGCCGCCGGCCATCTTGTTGATGGACGCCGGCACAGAGAGGAGAGGACAGTCACCCGGCGGGATAAGGTATGCTGTCGGGTCCCCTCCTCTGTCCTGATGCTATCGGGCGTTCGGTCCATGACGACTTTTCAATGGTGTCACCCGTGTGCGGGCCACAACCCCCGCACCTCCTTGTGACGCCACTGGTCTAGGGTCCCTATACCTCACATATATACATACAGGGCTAATTTTAGACAGAAGCCAATCAACCTACCAGCGTGTCTTTGGAGTGTGGGAGGAAACCGGAGTACCCGGAGGAAATCCACGCAAGCACAGGGAAAGCATGCAAACTCCTTGCAGAGAGTGTCCAAGGTTAGCACTGCATTTACTGATCAATCATATAGCAAGACACCTTATTTAAAATCCATCCAGTGGAACCAACCTGCTGGTTTGATGTTAGGGAAGCCTTTTACAAGGAAATCATGACTCTGACTGCAACAGATGTTTACTTCCATTCTTCCACTCTCATCTTGTAGTACAAATTTAGAGTGACACTAAACTCAGGAGTTAGGCTGGGTTCACACCTGGGCGTACGGAATATGCGCAACTCCTGTACTTCTTTTGGCGCAGGGCGTTTTTCAGCGCGTTCCTACGCGCTGAAATACGCCCAGGTGTGAACCATGCCCATAGGCAATTATTGTTTTTCACATGCTGAGCGTTTTACAGCGCATCGATCAGCACTGTAAAACGCCCAGGGGTAAACCAGGCCTTAAACCTTAAATATACATTCAAGTACCTCAACTATTAACAATAATGTATCTTATTTGTGTATCAGCTGTAGATCGTCAAATCATCTCTGAATTGGTGCTGACACTGTCCTTCCTTCTGGCGGATGGCTACTTTTGTGCCCCATGATCCCTGTGTGTGTTGTAAAGTAGCCATCGTCCCAAGCTCCCTTCTGTGATGGACTACAATCTCAGTACAAATTAATAAACTAAACATGAGATTGTAGTCCATCACAGAAGGGAGCTTGGGACGATGGCTACTTTACAACACACACAGGGATCATGGGGCACAAAAGTAGCCATCCGCCAGAAGGAAGGACAGTGTCAGCATCAATTCAGAGAGGATTTGAGGATCTACAGCCGAGTGATACACAAATAAGATACACTTTTGGTAATAGTCAGGGTACTTGAATGTATTTTTAAGATTGGGTTTAGTGTCACTTTAATAGTGATTTGTTTTAGGACTATAGGCAATAGATGAGGTATGTTGAGGTATATGTAGCTGCACATAGCGGGGCTTCATAATACATTCTTGTAACCAAAAGTTTTTACAAATCTGTATTGTTCAAATGTATTGTCATTGTTGGGTGAATGTTGCGGGTGAATGTTGCGATCTAGTGGACAATTTGTGTTTTGCAATCTCCTCTAATATCGCTAATAGTAGTTGGTCACATTCATGTGGAGGTTTCGCTGTTTATCCACTCAGCATCTTCAGTTTTAATGTCCATCTTTAACATTACAGAACAAGTCCAGCTGATTGTGACAAACTTCTGTAAGTTATACCACAACCTGGACAGTAATGTAGCATGACACTAAACTCAGGAGTTAAATCTTAAAAAATACATTCAAGTACCTTAACTACTAACAAAAATGTTTATTTGTGTATCACTCGGCTGTAGATGCTCAAATGGGGATTGAGCTGCAATAGCATTTAGTTTGTGTTGGATTCATGTCTCAAGCAGATAATATTGTATGAGAGGTCACTTTAGCATGTCTTAATGGTAACCCAATGAGTAAAATGTCCAAAATATTTTTTACAATATCCTCGATTAACTCTGCATTATTAGTGACAATTAGATCTAAGATGGCATTTTTTCTGGTAGGAGTCTCCACCATCTGGTCCATGAAGTTGTCGCGCAACATGTTTAGAAATCGCCCCGCCTTTGCCGAACCCGAAGTTCCATTGGCCCAATTGATGTCTGGGTAATTGAAGTCACCCATCACGACTACATTGCCCTCTCTCCCAGCTATTCCTATCTGTGAGTGAAGATTGACTTCTCCCTCTTCCCCTATATTTGGAGGTTTATAGCAAATACCCACGAGAAGTTTACGGCATGTTTATGTCATTTAAAAAAAAAAAATGTTTTCAGTCTTATCAAATCTGCCGCTATCATTAGGGCTGGCTTCTCACACATGTGTTGTGGTAACACATCCATTTTAATGTGTATTACAAAATATGACATCACACAGACCCCAACGCACTAAAGGAACACAGTGCCAACACATCTGCATTGCAGTGCACCGCAATGCATGGTAACACATTACTAAGGGGGTTATTCACAAAGCTGCCAAAGGCAGCCGAGTGAATAACCGAGCCGTAGTGCATTTAGCCGAACAACGTTCCGCTATTCACTACGGCTCAGTATGGCTGATTTCAGCCGTGCATATGCTGAAATCAGCCGTACATCAGCTGCCTTCGGCTGCACTTCGGTAAGCCAAATACGCTCTGATCTAGCTCCGCCCAACTGTTTCCTATTGGTCGGCACCTGCTATAGTCTTCTAGCAGGTCCTGGCCAATGAATAACAACTCGGCAGACCCGGCCGTGATGTCATGGCCAGCTCCGCCCAGTTGTTATTGTTTAATGACAGTTCATTTGGGGACACTGATCTGTCATTACAACTGGGCGGAGCCAGCCGTGAGATAACAGCTGGCTCCGCACAGCTGTCATTTGCGGGGCGAAAGGCCGGGCTTCGGACGGCCGCTTGCCCCGCTTCGGCTGTCACTTCGGCTAAGTTGAGTCGAAGCATATCGCCAGCTTTGTGAATAGACCCTATGTGTTATGGTGCACTGTGTTGGACAAAATAGCACAGATGTACAGGTCTCAGTGAATGGGCTGCCACAATGCAACAGGCATTAACATGTAACATAATGCAAGGTTAGCACACTGTATGAAATTTCAGAGATGGAGCCTAAAAGAATACCTGGTGCTCTGGGGATTCTACCATGAAGGTACTATGAAGGTCCTGGCATCCCGTCACTCCAGATGAGGCCTACAGAAGGCCAGGCTGACACACATTGGGTAGGCGGCATGGAGCATTTGCATGTAGACAGGAAGTGGCTGAAAGAAACTAGCAACCCTGGGATGAAAAAAAAAATCGATGGCAGTTGTTTATAATGCACAATGAGCAGAATAAATGTGATCCACTTAGGGTTTAGATCTACTTTAAGGGCCATCAAGAATGCATTCCAGTGTGTTTGGTGCCATTGAGTTCAAAGCGCATCCACGCCCCCTCCCGCCCCAAAACAAAGTGAGCCGGCCGGGTTGCGTTCCAGAGGCTGAACACACTGAAACGCACTCTTGATGGTGTGAGTGGGCCCTCAGTGCTATCACAATTTGATTAATCAGAACCATTGATATGTTTTAGTATTTGATATGTCATTATTAAATCTTTTACAATTATGTTTTTTTTTTTTACTTGCAGCCTTTCCTGAACAATATATACTACCCTTTGACACCTCTTGCCTCCAGCCCGCGCTCCCTGAAGATGCCAGGATACATAACGTCCCCGGCTCAATACCCACCTTTTCCCTTTGTGTCACTGTCAGCTAAAGGCAGCCTTATTCAGACCTTCAGGTTCCAGTCACGCAGAGACGGCATCGACTGGAGGCGTATCAGCGCCATCGATGTGGAGAAGGTAGCCCGAGAGTTGGATATATCTACATTACAAGAGAACATCAATTCCATCACCTTCTGCAATCTGGATAATGAAAGATGCCCATATTGCCAGAATCCAGTAGACCCGGTGTTGCTGAAAGTCCTCAAACTGGCCCAGTTGACCATTGAATATCTACTGCAATGCCAAGAATGCCTGAGCAGCACTGTAGCGCAATTAGAGGAGCGGGTACAGGAGGCAGCAAACGAACATCAGGTGACAAAGGATGAGCTAGTCAAGCTGAATGACGAGTTGAAGAAAGTGAAGGATGAGAATAAGAGGAGGAAGAAGTTAATCGGCACTCAGCAGATGTTACTCCAAGCTGGAGCTAACAGTTATCATAAGGTATGGTCGTCCGACTAGTCATGTGACGGAGATCTGATTGTATTACCTAATTATCCCAGACAGTCCTGGGTTCTGCAGTCAACATGGAGGTCTTTGTTTTTTTAAATCTGACAAGTGGAGAGTAAAGCTGGCCATACACCAGTAGAATCTCGAAATGTTCATTTGATTATCTATTGGTTAGTGGGGTCTAATTGACATTCGTTTTTGACAGTACTGACGAGGGGAAAAAATAGCACATATTGCAATGCGCATGAGCCGGGCACAAAAGAAACATCTGGGATCCATTCAGGGACTCATTCACCTTACCAACCCCTCAGTGTCTGCATCCCCCCTCTGCCAATCCCTACACTGGCTTCCACTCGCCCAGAGGATAAAATTCAAAATATTAACAGTCACCTATAAAGCCATCCACAACTCCGCCCCCGGATATATCTCAGACCTGGTCTCAAAGTATCACCCTAACCGTCCCCTCCGCTCCTCCATTGACCTCCTGCTTTCCAGCTCCCTTGTCCACTCCTCCCATACTCGCCTCCAGGACTTCTCTAGAGTCTCTCCCATCCTCTGGAACTCTTTACCCCAACCTGTCCGTCTATCTCCCATCTTGACTGCCTTTAGGTGATCCCTTAAGACTCATCTCTTCAGGGAAGCCTATCCCACCTCAACCTAACCACTGAACCTTCACATTCTCACATAATTCATTCCCACAGCTACCACAGCTACCTCATGTATCATTTCCCCCTCCTCTTTTAAATTGTAAGCCCTCAGGGGCAGGGCCCTCCTTACCATCTTGTCTTGAATTGTATTGTAACTGTAATGTCTTCCTTATATTGTAAAGCGCTGCGCAAAGTGTTGGCGCTATATAAATACTATGTAATAATAATAATAGTAGGTTTGGGCAGAATTTTTAAGGGATTTCAAACAAAGTTCGTTGACTCAACTATGGAAAGATTGAATCCTCTGACCAACAATTGTGAATGAAAGTTCAAACAAAATTCTAACAGGCTATTCACCAGATGAAACATAAACAAAAACAGGGGGTGCCTTCCCTAGTGTAGATGATTTTTATTGAGCAATAGCAAAAGATAGAATGATACTCACAAAAGAGTAGATGACAGTAGGCCTTCAAAGTCAGGAGTTGGTTCAGACTTAACAACGAGACAAGGAATGTGAGAGCTGCAAGCAGATGACAGATCCTGTGTAGCAGCACACTGCGCCTGGGTTAACGCCTTTCTGGGGCCACGCCCCCTTCCACAGAGGTTCTAAGGAAGGGGCGTGGCCACAGAAATGCAGCACACTGTGCCTGGGTAAACGCGTTTCTGGGGCCAGGCCCCCTTCCTCAGAGGTTCTGAGGAAGGTGGGCCTGGCCCCAGAAATGTTTTAACTCAGAAACAGTGTGCTGCTATACAGGCTCTGTCATCTGCTTTTGCAGCTCTCACATTCCTTGTCTTGGTAAGTCTAGAGCAACTTCTGACTTTGGAGGCTTACTGTCTATCTGTAAGTATCATTCTGTCTTTTGCTATTGCTCAATAAAAATCATCTACACTGGGGAAGGCGACCCCTGTTTTTGTTTATGTTTCATCAGATACTACAGTCTCCCTGACTGATGTGGGGTAGCTACCCGTAGAACTCCTGCGTGCTTACATCTCCAGTGGAGTGGTCGTCTCCGGCGCTATTGGCTTTTATTTGCGTGGGGCTATTTACCAGCTTCAAGAAGAACTCCAGGGAAAATTATTATTATCAACCCTTGTAGTGGGGCTAAAAAGTTATACCCAATCCTCGGAGATAGCTTGCTGTTAGACCAGTCCCTGATGCCTCTCTCCCCCTGCTGCAGTAGTCTACATCTACGTACGTCATCGCATCCAATACACTATGTATAGGACGTGAGGACGCAGAGGGGCATAACATTGCTGCAGCGGAGGAGGAGGCAGGTTTCAGGGAGTGCTAGCACAGCCGGGCGGGTCTGAGGTTCGGGTGAGTATAACTTTGTTATTTTCCAACCTAGAGCAAAACAAGCACTTAACCCTTGCAGTACAGACACTTCAAACTTCACTCAGGACTGTAGCTTCTGGACCTAACTCATAATTCTGACATGTCTTCTGAGTAGGACTGCAGCTTCTTATTATGTGTTTTTCTGAGCCGCCTCCCTTCCATATTCTATGTTGTAGGCAAGGCTGCACTGACCCTGAGAAGAGACTTATTTGTCTGCATTTTTAATCATGATGAATTACAATGTGCATATTTAAAAATCAAGTAATGTTCTGTTCTGTTCTGTTCTGTTCTGTTCATAGTGTCAGTTATGTGACAAGACCTTCATGAACTACTCCTTCCTGCAGGGACATCTCCAGCGCAGACACCCAGAAGTCACTGAGTTTGGTAACTTCAGCATCAGCCATTTTGCTGCTGCTTTGTTTTATTTGTCACAATTGTCCTTCATGCTACTGTACTGTATGTTAAACAGAATCCAATATATTCACTAGATAGATAGATAGATAGATAGATAGATAGATAGATAGATAGATAGATAGATAGATAGATAGATAGATAGATAGATAGATAGATAGATAGATACTGTATATACATACATACATGCATACATACATACATACATACATACATACATACATACTTACAAACTCTAGACTGCTAGTGTGTAGCACAGATGCCACCTTGTGGACACTTGCGATACTGCAGCTTCCTTTTACTTTTATGGCTTGCTCTTAGAAAACCTGCACAGAGTGAGAGACATACAGTATGCAAGAATGCCATCAGACTAAGCCTTACTTCTTTTCATAGACATGTGATGTCTGCTTTATTGTGTTTGAAGTATATTCCATATGTAATTCTATTTCCATATATTTGGTGTCTACCTTGCATTCATTGACCTTTGCTTTTAGGTGTTGGAGATTAGTCTGGAGGCAGAGTTAAATTATTATTATTATTATGGATTTATATATCACTAACAGTTTGCAAAATACTATGCACGATTACATGTGAACTCCTGCTTACAGATGCGGCTGCTATCACCCTGTTAGGTGAACAATGCTCATTGACTAGTTCTTGTGCTGGATTATTTTTTTTAAATCCTTTATCATTCTGGACTCTTGATATAACCAGTATAACATTGGCCGGCCTATATATTATGAACTGTCAGGTTTACTATCTGTGGTGTTACCTTTCTACCTTACTGATATCCTGTATCTAGGATTTGTAGTGGTTGCACGCATCTTATAAGACAGATTTGAATATTTTCTGCTTTGTTTTTGTTGCAGAGAGGCAGAAAAAGAAGCAAGTGGAACATATGGAAGATGGCATTGAGGAGCTTAAAGACAAATTGCAGAAGACTCAGTCTCAGCTAGAGGCAGAAAGGGAGAGGGAACATCAGCGAAGGATGCAGGTGATGCACATTTTAAAATATATTCACCTTTAGAATGACACCTAGCGGCAGGCTGAGAGTTTGGGCTTGTGTGAAGTTCAAGTCCGATCTAAACACACCTTTACATAAATAGTCTTGGTGCTCGAGGAGGTCCTACCATAGATACCTATGTATTAGGGATGCATCGATACCGGTTTTTCGGTATCGAGTGAGAGTACCGATATTTTTTTTTTTTAGGTACTCGCCGATACGAAATTCCCATTAACGAAGCCAGGCGGCGTGTAATGACTCGCCGCCAGACTTCCTGATTAGCCGGGAGGCTGGGCAGCGTGTAATGACTTGCCACCCGGCTTCCCTGCTAATTGCAGTCACCAGGTGATGAGGGAGCATGGAGCTGGCTTTCTGGCCAATCAGAAAGCCGGGGGCCGGGTAATGACTCACCGCCTGGCTTCCTGATTGGCCAGCTTCCCGACCAATCAGGAGGCTAGTCATTACATGGTGCCCGGCTTCCTGATTGGCCAGGAAGCTGGCTCCATGTTCCCTCATCACTTGGTGACAAGGGAGCATGGAGACGGCTTCCCTGCTAATCAAGCAGCTGGGTGGCGAGTCATTACACTCATTGGCAGAGGAAGCCAGCTCCATGCTTCCTGGTGACAAAGAAGCATGGAGCCGGCTTCCCGGCCAATCAGGAAGCCGGGCAACATGTAATGACTTGCTGCCCAGCTTTCTGATACCGGAAGTTCCAGTATTGGGCTAGCATCGGGAGCATTTGGGCAAGTATCGGTATCGGTGCATCCCTACTATGCATGTATTACAGAAACTTCCATAAAATACTGCCTGTTTCCGCACAGCTGGTATCAGTGCTGGGTTTGGACTGTGCACAGCCCTTCGTAAACAGCGTCGGCTGTTTTTCCTTATATCTTTATGCTGCATTTCAGCTTTCTATTTAATGTTTGCTAAACAAAACCAATAAATAAAAAGACACTTACTGTCCTACTTTTCAGGAGCTGGAAGAAATTCGCCAAAGGGAGGAAAACATCAAGAGAGAGTTTGAGAGGTGGAAGGAAGATGAGAGAAGCAAGCTGCAGAATGAGATGGATAAACTCAGACAACAGCTCTTCTCTCAGATCGAAGACATTACCCTTAAAAATACAGCTGTAAGTAGAAAGTGTGATTGCTGCCAAATAGATCGGGTTCTACCAACAGTCTCTTGTCTGCAGTACTCCCAAATCTGAATCCCTGTGAGCCAGTTCAATTAAAACTATAATGCTCTGATAGATTGCTGGAATTGTTCTAGAGAGATCCAACAAGGACATCTATAGTATATCAACATAAAAGGCTGAAACATTCTAATCTATGCTTCTCAGTTCAGGCTAGCCATAGACTTTGGATAATCACCAGTGGACTTAGCCAGTTACAACAGAATTAGGCTTATTTTTGTCAATGTCTACATTGTATATTTTCCCTCTACTGGGTTCGCTGACCACTCTTTTACAGATTCCCCAGGTATGTTAACATGCAATCTTGACTGAAACTAGTGTAGAGGTAAATGTATTGGAAGTAAACCTATGTGTGTGTACAGTTGCACAGCCCTAAATGCAGACAGTCTGCATAGAGGGCTGTGCCCCCATTAGCATGCATATGTTTAATGCAAGTCTATATACCAGCATACAACCATTGACTTCTATGGGAGGCTATACGGCACACCTGTAACTCCCTGGCAGAAGACATGCACAGTAATCTATCTTGCATAGGTTTAGTTGCTCATGTGCACAAGCTCAAATAATAATATAATTAGCTTGTCAGAATATCCATTGTCTACTTCCTGCCTTTGCTGTCTTCCTTTGGATCTGAATGAACAGTGGTGCCCATTGCACCCTTTTTCAATGTGTCTAAATTTTGACTTTCCCTAAAAAGTTGAAAGTACAGCTGTGTTCCCACTAATGTATAGCCTCAGGCTGGGTGGGTAAAGCTTGTTAGAGCATGGAGTGCAGTGCTGTTATCAGTGGTAGATATGTGGGTGTTTGATGTGCATGCCGTCATTGGCAGTCACACTCCTCCTTTAAGATGCGTTTTAGGAAACATGGTTACACCCAAAAGAATGATAAGGGGGTCCAAGAGGATTGGAGAGGAATGTGTGGAAACTATACTTGGACAAGGTGAATTTCATTTCCCAAAAATTGCATTCCATTTCAAAATGACATATTTAGCAGAATATCTGGAAAATATAAATCATGGCAACTGGACTTGCTGTATTTTTCTTGAGAAGTTTCATGGTCATCCAACTAACTTTCTCAATTCAGAAATGAATGCAGAATGAATTGAGAAAGCTGGTCGGGTGACCAGCAAAACGTCTTCAGGTAAAATACAGCAAGTCCAGTTGCATTGACTTATTTTTTACAGATATATCATGACCTGGATGAATGAGAACCTTCACAGACATATTTAGCAGAAGTTTTGTGGAAATGCATTACTTTATAATAGGCGAATAAAAAACTTTTTGCTTGAAATCCTAATCTTTTGCATTTGTTTATTGTTTTCCATACATGCTCTCATCCTAACAGACACCAGGTTTTAGTCCTTATAGCAGAACGGAACAGTTGAGCAATTCAGTTATGAACTACATAGGAATATGTAATGTTATTTCCGTTAGATAATAGTCACAAAGCAGGTTGTCATCACACTTGTTGTATGTTCATTATTCATCAGAGATTTCAAGAAATGGAGTCTAAAAAATCCACATCCTCCAATCTTGGTGAGCTCTTCGATGAAGAAGACAGACAGGAACGTCTGAAGCTGCAGAAAGAAATATGGAACATGAAGGAGGAAATAGAGAGACAGGTAAATCTGAGAAATGAGGGAATCATGGTAATCCATCAGTATAATGAACAGCACTATGTTCTGGAAGAAGCAGCCGTGGAATCTGGCCTCTTGTCTGTATAAGTCATTTATCACAGACATTTTTAGTACTTAAGATTTTCACTAAAAGGACACTAGGGGGGCTAGCTTCTGTCACTAGGAAAGGATGCTGCAATTTCGGATTTCGCCCATTGTGCTACTTTTAAGTGTAACTTTGTATCACATGGAGACCGTATAAATATACGTTCTGTGAAGACTATGAAATCTGAACAGCTGGACTTTAAAATTGGCAATTAATTGTTAGATTTTTGTACTAACGGTCATACCAAAAATCTCGTCAGAACATTCCATAATGGCATCAGAGACTTGACGAATGTTGTTTGAATTTTCGTTGATTTTAACAATCAATTATGCAATGAAGAGAGCTTAGAATTTCAGTTGTTCAGGAAACATTTTCCATCCTGCCCCTTAATTTTTTCCTCACATGGTCAAAAAAAATCTTCCATTTCACCATATTAAAAGAAAACTATGCGGTAAGTGCTTTTCCCCATAGTTCTCTTTAGGGTCACGGGAGGACATAAACGAACATCCTCTCGTAATCCAAAGCTACAGCCCACGATATACTGAGACCGCCGCAGCCGGGGCAGATCCTGATATTACTGTCGAGATCCACCTAGCTGTGTGAGTGACAGTGGGCTCTGCCTATCTAGAGGCAGAGCCAGATGTACCCGCCCCCTCCCCTGTCCGTTCCTCCAGTCAGCACTGGAGGAACGGACAGGGGAGGGGGAAATCCCTGCGGGAAACGGTGACTGACAGTCACGGCTCTCTGCACGGAGATGATCGAGAAGTGAGCGAGCCACGGTATGTGTTCGCTCACTTCCTGATCTATTGAGCCGACCTGTGACAGTTTCATTGGCACACGTCGGCTCGAACTATGAGGATGAGTGATTTTCACTCACCTCATAGTTCTCCTTTAAAAGAGAACTATTGGGAAAGTAAAATGTACTCCTCCCAATAGTTAGTGCCATCATGTGACACTGCATTTCTCACACGTCGGCTTTATAACTCGAGAACTGAGCAATTACATACCGCTGATGGCTCAGCTCACGGCTTTCACCAACAGAGAACAGGGACTGTCAGTCACCGCTCCCCTCATGGATTCTCCCTCCCCTCTGTTCCTCCAGCGCTCATTGGAGGGACAGACAGGGGAGGGGCGGACACAGCTGGCTCTGTCTCCTAAAAGGCAGAGCCAGCTGTCAATCAGGCAGCTGGGTGGATCCTGACAATATTGTTGAGAACTTTTCTGGCTGCAGCGCCGCTCTGCACTGTCAGCATATAGCGGGCTATATGCCTGCTGTATGCTGACTTTGGGTAACAAAAGGACATTAGCAAATGTACTCCTGTGACTCAAAAGAGAACCAAAGTCAGAAAAGGTTTGGCTATATTTCTCTTTTAACTATTAGAAAATAGATGAAAGTTCCAAAAACAAAAACAGAATTTGTCAAACGAAATTCTTCTGGTGTATGGCCAGCTTAATTCACGGATCCAATGTAAACAGCTGATGGTGAAAAGGGGAGACAGACTTAGAGGCAGCCTATGACTTCTCCATTTCACAATAAGCCATAAGGGTTGATTTACTAAGCCCCCATTCACAGTTAAGTATGAGTGTTTTTTTTTTTTTAATTTTTAGGCTTGAGCGTTTTGGTTTTAGCCAATGGAAAGCTAGTTACTAGAAGGAGATGGTTGTTAGATGCTAAATTGTGCAAAAAACACACGTGCTCCCATTGAAGTCTATGGGGCCAAACAGCTGATGTACTTTTTCAAATGAAACTACACTGAGGTATGAATTGACACCATTAAAAAAACATGCAACACAACTCTTTAATTTTTCAAATACGTTTTCACTTAGCATGGTGAATGTGGTGGACGTTCACTTTGCAAGGAATACCCAATCATGTGCAAAGAAAATGGAAAAAAAAATAGTATTTTTACTTGCACATGATTGAATGATAGAAGTCAGCAGAGCTTCACCTCATTCACTAACCTAAGTGAAAATTCCCTTCTTAAGTAAAAATGTGACTTTGCTAAGTGCAGAGCACATTTGCCTTTAGTAAACCAATCCACAGTGTGTTGCTTGATGCATTTATAAATGATGAGAACTGCTTCTCTAATGTCATAATTTGATGTTTTTAGAGCTTGGAATGGAAAAATAAGATGAAGGAAATAAAGAAAGAACACAAAGCAGACAAATTGGAGGTAAATAATAGTCATGAAAATACAGCCCCTATTCCAAAAACGTTGAGACGCTGTGTAAAATCTACATAAAAACAGAATGCAAGGATTTGCAAATCTCATAAACCCAGATTTTATTCACAAGAGAAAATAGAATACCAGCTACCGGATCGTAGAAGCGATCTGGCGACAGCTGAGCCGCCAGAATCGCTTCTACTGTAAAGCCAGTTGCCGGCTCGACAAAACGGAACAGAGTGCCGGCGGCTTTTCTGTGTAACCCGTTCCGACTTCATGGCGGGATTATTCCGTCATAGGTCGTGAAGGGGTTGAGTTGATTTCACTACTGGGGCTACCCCCGCACTGCAAGGGTTAAGTTCTCGTTTTTTGTCTAGGTGCTAAAATATAAAACGTTATACTCACCCAGACCACTGAGCTGACCAGCTATTCCAGAACTCCCTTCGGCTTCTTTCCTCCTCAACTGCAACGATGGTTTGTCCCTCACTGTGTATAGGACGTGATGACTCAAGGACCTAAGACCAGTGCAGAAGGGGGAGGGGGAGAGAGGCTCCAAGTACCGGTCTAAGAGGAAGCCTGCTCTGAGGTTGGGGTGAGTATAGCTTTTTTAATTTAGCACCTAGACAAAAATGAGCACTTAACCCTTGCAGTGCAGAAGTAGCCACACTGCATGGGTTAAGAATGAGTTCTGCTTTCAGCCTTGAGAGAAAGATAATTTCTTCTGAGCAGCTCAGTATGGTGAGGATTATTGATCCCAATATGCTCTCAAATTAAAGCTCATTATCAATCATGTGTTCTGATGAAAACTTTGTTGCAATGTACTTTGTTGTTGCAATGTACCAAGATCCCCCTCTATTATCTTTTATGTTTTTGTTTGAAATATGTTGCAAACAAGCACAGAACCCAAATGCTACTTCATTGACACAGGACTGTTATTTTGCAAAATGAAATGAAAGGTTATACCTAGGCAATATAAAAACACAAAAAATGGCGAGCGCACAACTGATATGGAATGTGATGGGTGAATAGATATGTTTAAAACAAATTTTAATATTAAAACAAATTTAAATTTAAAACAACTATAAAACAATTACGGAACAATAGTATGCCAATGCAAGGCTTGAAATAATATAGGGTGAGCAAGCTTCTTATTCAGGGGGAGGAGCCCTGTAGACATGTGAAAGAAAAGGTGGAAAGAAGCGCTGCAACCCTAGGATTTGCTGGGATGGTATAGATACAACCTTTAAAAGCAATATAAAACTGAAAACTCACTGTTTTGGAGGAGGGGATAAAATCTTACAGTTGAGTAGAACGCTCAGGAGTAATTCTGACCAGTCCTTGTGGGTATAGAGCACGGGTTTCGGACGGACGAACTGGAGTCTTCACGGTAAAGCCCTGAAAGCAGTTTGTCGGCTTAGAGTGCTGGGCAGCATCTGTGTTGGTGTAGGTGTGGGGAACGGACTACATGATTCTAGGTCAATCTATTGTTGTTCATCTGTGGTTGATGTGGCTGGAGGGTCCGTTAGGCAAGGTAAACTGGGACGTTTGCCGTGAGGCTCGCCGTCAGGTGCAATGAGAGCGCAGCTGGCCAGGCTGTCACTCGTCGGCTGAACGGGAGCAGGAGTGCCGCTGTATAACGGTATCTTTTGGATGAGCGATCTTGCTGATAGATTGTCTTGAAAGTGGGCTCAATGCTGACGGACACTGCGGTCCGTAATGTGGAGGATTGGCTC